ATGCAAATGGGTCAAGACCTGGAGCCCGTAGCTTGATGATGTAGCAAACGACCTTCCAGGTAGAGCACAATGCAAAATACGTTCGAAAAGTAAGTCGAATCACCCACAACAAATGCCACAATCTCTTGATGCAATTCCTTTGCCCCGTGTGCCCAATTCATTTGCTCCAGCCTACCCAGGAAGTGATCCCATCGGCTATGGGCCCCTGCACCGCTGTCACCTTCCAGTTCTTTCATCTTAAAAAGCTCAGGTAGAAATCAGCGGTGTAGAACTAGTGTGCAACAATACCAATATGTCCTGCCCACATTGTTGGTATTTTTATGTATTTTCGCTTACAAGAGTCCTTTGCTCTCATTAACGTTAATTCTGATGGACATTCCTTGCTTTCGTTGTGTACCTCACTTCGCTTGGAGCCGTTTTGGCCGTTTGTGTACATAGACCCTTGGCATTGCTTTGCCTGTACAGTGAATACAGTTCTTATTTGACCCCCCGATACCCAGCTTGGCGCTGAAGGGTCGTGGGAAGCGCTTGTCGTCTGCTTGTCATATGGGAATAGTAGGGAAAGACACTAAGAGCAATGGCCTCCAACCTACGAACGTGCCCTTGTTGTCTCTGAGTGCCATGACCCGGAGCCATCTGCCTCTCCTACTGCTTTTACTGCCACACCCGGTGAACTTGAGACCCACATGGAAGCTGCATGGTGTTTGAGACCTGTGGAAGACGTGGTTTTCCTCTACGACCCAACGTGGTTTTCAGGTTCCCAGATCCTTCCATATGGTTCCATGTTCATCTTGCGGGGCGTACTTGGTGGCCTTTTACTACGGCTTTGGCCTCTCTCCCACACCGGCGACCTTGGCCCCGGGACAGAGGTGTTCCGGAGGAGACCGGTGAAGCCGCTCATCGCCTCGTGCCGGACCCAACGGCAGCGTTGATTCGATACTCCAAAGCCACATGCATTCTGAGCCTGGAAGTCGTATTTGAAGATTTTTTTGAAAGATTATATATATATATATATTTTATCACATCTGGAAGACACGTGATGAACAATCATGAAAGAATGTGTGTATTGGTTTGGAAGGCATGCTGCGAAGGGTTTGGATATATACAGTGACAACCGAAGATTTCAGTTGTCATCTTTGCTAAATTAAAGAACCGCATTTCAAACAAAAGCACATTCCCTTGCGCCAGCTAACCAAACATATAAATCCAAAAATCCGCCGGTGAAATCTTTGTCTTGGGTCCCCCCAAACTATACACGTTCCTTTTCTTCCAAACAACATACTGCATGCCGACCCCCGAGCCATTTCCGAAAAAAGAAAGGTGAACCAAACGAAATGATACTAAATGTTCCATTTTGTTGATTTTTTTTCCACGGCGCCTGTACCTGGGGCCGAACCTGTGGCGCACTCATCGTGACCGGGATCCGCACCGTTCGTGCACTCATCGTCCATTGACATCAAATCGACCACAGCTGTTTGATGCCACCTCAGCGATTTTTGGACAACGGGCGAGGTCCTGAGGAGGTGTCCTGGAATTCTCTAGGATTCTGCGACCGGGAAGAGGAGCTGTATCAACAGCTGGAAGTGTTGAAGGACAACCATGACATGGAGTATAAGAATATGAACCAATTTCATCCAATTTCCTGTTGCTTTATGGATTTTCCCATATTCCATCTACTCCAGGATGACGAAAAACGCTTTAGATGTGGGCCAAATCTTAACTCAGCAGCTCCGGTACACTTCGGATTTGTTGGACATTCTTCTTGCCCTTCTATCTGGCGTGTTGCTCTGTTGGAAATTGCTTGTTTTTGAAAGAACACCACAACAGCAACTAATCGACACATATGTTTGGGGATGTGGTTTGGACCATAACTACTTGCCAAGGCAATGCCTACACACTGGCCTACACACACATATATATTATATATAACACTATATATATATATATACAAATATGCTAATATCATATTGTATTATATTGTTATTTCCTTACAACGTGTACACTCATGGTTAGTCTCAATATCACCTTAGACCTCTTGACCAAAAACACTTCGAGCCTGGCCTCGTGTAGTTCCCAGTTCTCTACTTCCCCTGGCCGGTTCCCTCGCCTCCCCGGTGTCTCCGCCTCGGTTCGGGTCCCTGGCCATGGCTCCCAAGGGCCGATGGCTCGTGCGAGGTCGCCCTTCTTCAGCTCCGCAAAGAAGCTCCGTGCCTGGCGCGCGCCGAGCCAACATGAGTCCGACAGAAAATGGTGCGAAATGAGCATTTTTGGATGTTTTTGTTTGAAAAGGGCATCCCAGCTGATATTGTAGTTTATCATGCGCTCATATGCGCTCCTATGCGCTCCATACAATGATCTTCCAAAAATCCATCCAAGTTTTCCAAAGTTCAGTTCATGTGAAGTCTACATTCTATGGGCCCATTTGCACTTTCAAATACTTTCAGGACAAACTCTGCTGAGCTTGTCCTCTATGATCCTCTGTGTAATCACTAGCAGGAATTTGTTGTGGTTTGAGAGAGTTTTCGACCAGCCTGATAAATAGGTGTTCGTTGTCCAAATCATTCCGCTTACCATCGCTTACCTCGAAGCCAAATGCCTCTCATTTCTTTAGAGGTAAGGTAAGTGAGAAAACATCGCGCCGTTCGAGTTCACATCCCAAACATGAACAAATTGGTCGATCTTCACCAATCATCCAATGTGTGGTCTGGGTTCTTCATTTTGGTCAGGATAGGTTTGTCCACCAATGTCCACACTCATACTATCTCATACTCCAACGATAGCTGATTGTTGGTTTCCTCCACCCCATCAACACCATGCCTGCCTTGCCCCAGATTCTTTAAGCTCTAATTTAATGGGTTAGGAGGATTTCATGCCACACAGGTGAAACCTTCCACAGCATTCAACAAATGTCGTCTGTGTCGATGCTTTCCCTCCTTTCACTGCGTGGAGCCGTTCCCGGCTGGTCGCTCGTCGAACCACTGCTTCTGGTCACTCAGCTCGACCGGTCGGGCGGCCTCCTCTTCGGACAGATCTTCCACGCGCAGGGCGCCGCGCGAGGCCAAGTCCGCCAACATCTGCGCCAGTCCGCGTGTGCGGCGCCGCGGCAAGTCCGCGCTGGGAGGATGCGATCCGGATGCACCCGGTGGATCAGGGCATGATGTGAGGCTTTGGCAAAGGCTTTTGGGAAAAACCTCGGGCATGAAGCAATGGATGTAATAGCTTCTTGCTCCTAGTAGTAGGGCCAGGAGCCCCAAAGGTAGCGTCCGAACGCTCCGTTCGTAGCGATGCCAGGAGCCCCTTACTCGTAGCGTCCCTTCATAGTATCGAGGTCTTAGATCCTCAGGTGAGTCAATTCACCCGGCAGATCCCAGTGACGTGACTGGTCGTGTTTGGTGAAAAGGAGCTGTTCAAAGGACGTGATTCTGGAGTGATCCAACAAAAGAACCAACAGAGGTTGAAGAACCCTATAGTAGACTATCCCGTAGGTACCCCAGTATGGTCTTATAAGGACCTGGAGATACTTACTCTAGTTTCTGGGCACATTATGCCAATGCCATTTCCTATTGGTTTGTTGTTGGTGTTCTCTGTTGGTGTTCGAATGTCTAACGTTACCGTGAGCAGAAACAGCATATTGATCACGTGGCGTTGGGGGTCGTGCTGCCGGCTACACTTGTGGAACGAAGGTGGCAGAAAGGCAACTGATCTGATCGTCTTTCTTTCCCAAATCACCAAAATCAAACGCCAACAGACTCAGATCAGATATGAACAGATCAGTGCGAGTAGAAACATTGATCACTGATAGGACTGATAGGAACTTGCTCGTTTTGGCGCACTCGCTTCCCGGTGCTCTGGCGGGAGCTCACTCGCAATTTGGGATCTGAACTGCAGAGTATGGGGCGTTTCCCCACTCTCCTCCTGCCTGCAGGCGATCTTCCGAGAAGCTGTCCTCGGTCTCCTCGGTCTCCTCTTCCTGCAGGAAGCGCAGGAAAAGGCTTTTCCCGGTGCAATGGCATCCAGGCTGACCAAACATGTGTGGAGGAAGACCGTGGTCGATTCCTCCACATGAGGGGATGTCGGGCAAAGCGGCGTTTCCAAGCTTTTGGAACAAACGAATGAAACAAGACCTGATTCAGCAAATTCGCAGGTCCATGAACTTACTTATTTAGATCCTCTACACATCACCGTTGGGGGGAACAAAGTAACGCATCGGCCGTAGGGGTTTCGAAGAAACATGCTTAACCCGTGGGCAAAACCGACCCAGAAAAATGGGATGTTGTTCTTCATATTTGCTGGCAAAACACGTGATTGGGAAACGCGTAAAGCGATTGAATACGCATGTAACTTGTTTTTCTTACCGCCAACTACCTTCCCTTTGGTGTTCCTATATTGTAAAAACGGGTACCAAACATGTTGAACATGGCTGAGAACAACGAAGAAAGGCAAGGAAACAATGGTACCATGTGGAAAAAGGACGAAACCGGACAACTAAGATGTCAAACCGAAAACTCAGCCAAAGTGGACTGGCTAAGTCATGTGCTGGTCATGAAAACCTTTGGCCACCGACCCATCTCCCGCCACAACAGGGTGGCATGCGCTCACTCTTTTCTCAAATCGATTGTGACCAGCGGCGGAGACCCGGAATCATTTCACAGCGTCAAACACCATGCCGAGTGAATGGACAGGGAATTCTTGTCATGGGTTTTGAGCGTTGGGTCCAGGGGCCATACTTATCTTTAGCTACCAGCCCCTAAGTGTTCTGATTCATTAATTTGAAAAGGCCCAAAACAAAACAGTACACATGGAGCAAACAGCAACCCTACAATTCTTTGACAGCAGCCGATGCATCCTTTGTTTGCATACAACTATGGTTTGATGCTCAACCATGCTCAACCCTCATTTTCGATTAAAAAACACTTGTCAGCCTGTACGCATTGACCCTTCAGCTTTTAAAACGCGACGCGTTCCAATTGCATCAGTCTGTTGCAACTGCCACCCTGGGAGTTGAGCCCGCCCTGAATACCCACCCTGCAGCTGCCATCCATTCTGGCATTCGTCGCCGGAGGAAAATCGGTGGCCGATCGCATCTACACTGTGGCCCCGCGCAACAAGAACGGCCTCGCGGGCTCAAATGGTGGGCGCCAAGATCATCAGTGCGATGCCAGCAGCCAGCAAAAATAGGTGGCTTGCTTTGGCAGGGCCACTGTGAAGCCTGGAAGATGGACGTGCGGTCTGTGTATCGGGTGCGGACGGCACACGCGGATGATGCATGTGCTCACCGCTAACATACGATAGTCGTCCCTTCCAACTCAAGTTGCAATTGTCAAGCGGACAAGGGGTAGGTTGGCACTCCTCCCTGCCAAAAAGATCCGAGGAACAGCTCAAATGACCCTAGATCCATTGAGGGACTGTTCGCAGCGGATAGCTCCAGAGACGATCTTTCCAAGTCGCGCGCCCGCACCATAAAGCTCAGCTATGCTCCGCCAAGCTAGTGCCCCACTTGACAGGAAAATGCCATTTGTAAGTCCTAGAAGCATTCGGATAGCTGCTTGGGCCTGGCACAAAACAGTATATCATGTCGTCTCATTAGACAGGTGGAGCGGAAACCATGACAATCCCTCAGGTCAAAGGTTACTGGTTACCCTGAGCTCTCCAGATGCAGGCGCTCATGCCGTGTGTAGCTACAAGTACCAGCAAAAGGCAGGACAGCACACGAGCCACCATGAAACCAACCAAGGGGACCACAGCGAACAATCAACAATTAGACCACAGCAGGCACATGTACATCTGGACCTCCTTGCCTTCGTGTCCGGTCTTCGAAGGCCAGGACGCGAAGACAGGCGGTCCTGACCCTTGTTATCACGCAAAGATACAAAAAGACAATATATATATATAAATATAGTTACAACAGTAATTAATATATATATATATGTTTAGAAAGAATAACACAACAAAAGAAGCATCACAAGATCCCACAATTGAAACTGCAAAGTCTTGCAGACCTATGATTCCGTCCGCACAAAAAGGCCACAAAAAGGCCCCCACGATTTCTGGGCACAACCCAGGTTTTTTGACTAGGCTGTTCTGGAGGCTTCAGGAGGGCTATAGCTCGGTGATCATCCTCTGGGCCCCGAAGAGCAGGGTTGGGTCCGGTGAGGGAAGCGACATGATCGCCCACCCGATTCCCTGTAACAGTGGATCTTTTGTCCGCTTTCCTCCTTACTGGGACCCCTCTTGGAGCTCCAAGAGAACTAGGACTAGCATACTAGCGGTACTAGCGGCCTAAGTCCCTGTCACAGTGGATGATGATGATGATGATGATGTTTTTGTTTTTTTTTCCTTGGTCCAAGTCTTTCTCCAATACAGGTTGCTTGGGAACCCTGCTGAAAACCGCTCCTCTATGCGCTCTTCGGTCCGACCCGATGAGGGAGGGCGTCGGCCGGAGGGAACCGGCCCAGTCCGGTGACCTGAAGGATCAGCAGCCAACGCATCAACCCTAAACCCTAATTTGTTTTTTGTTGATTCGTTTGAGGGTTTAAGGGTTTAGGGTTCATCAGAACGAATCACAAAACGAATCACAGTTCTGAATGATTGGCGTCAACGAAGAACACACAGCCAAATGCCAGAGCACTGCATCGCCCCTCTTGAAGAGCACTGCATCTTTCCCCACAAATCCATGTACTCCAGTTGCGCCGTTGCACCAGCAAATAGAAATTGGACCATAGTACAATGTATATAATATAAGCCTTTATCTGAACATTCTTATCATCATCTCCCTAGAAGTCGAACCACCATTTTTTTAAAGTAGCCTTTACCGAACAACAATTGTTTTACTAAGGATTGTATACCACAAAACCATATCAACCATTTAAATTTGTCTTGGACTTCCATGGCGCTGCTACTTTCGCACATTTTTTTGCATCATTCAACCTATACAAGTGGCGAACAAAAGAAACACATATACCTCGGCATACCTCGCTGTCCGCACGTCCGCGCCCAAACTCGTCCTCTTGGTAAGCTTCATGGCCAAGCCGAATCCTCCGCTGCCGTGCCATCGAACACGCGCCACCATCGGACGCATGGGACCAGGGCGAATGTCTTCGCGGCGTGCAAACCGAAGAAACGACCGGTGGGTCAAACATATTCAAAAATGAGAGTGGGAGAGCTCTGTTGGTGGAGGCATACATCGTTTCTGGATTTGGAACCTCTCTACAGTGGCTCACATACACAAAAGACATCAGCTATGCAAGAGCTCTAACACAACCAACAACAGCAAAATCAGCAGAAACTCAAGCATCTGCTGAGGCACCTGCTCTTGAACAGGTGAGCCTCTTTCCGACATTGTCTCGATTTCCGCCGACCACCCATGACACCGGTCAGTGACCACAGTTAGGCACCTTTCCTGGAAAGCTTCTCGCTTCAGCGCCGTGCCATGAACACTCAGAGGGGCCAATCTGATCCGACTGGCGCAGGAAAAGCCACTGGCTCAGGCTGGAGGGTGCCTGTTTAATGACGAAAGACAAAGAACTCTTACTTATTCTCCTGGGCCCTTGTTGCCATATCCTTCAACCCAGAAGTCAGTTTCTAGTTTCGCTCGAACGGTTGCTTGGAGTCAACTTTTCTGATCCATATAGGCGCTGCATTCATTCAATTCCCTTGTTCCCTAATGTGACCCCGAAGCATGTCTTTGAAGCAGGCTCCTTGGAACAAACTCCTACATCTTCAATTTCCTACATGTAACACCAGCAGTTCTTGCTGGTCTCTTCTCTTAACAAAAAAAAATAAACACCCAAACCATCTCTTTCCGGCGTCACCCCGGTCCCCCCCGCATCCCGAACGTGCCACCGGGGCGCCCAGTGCCGCCACCAAGAGCCCTCCAAGCTGTTGCAGGTCGAAGGCGTGATGCATGCGAATCATCTGACGCACGAGACGCGTTGACGGCGATGGCCGCGCGAGGACGACGTGGCAGGCCAAACCGAGGCTGCGAAAAAGAGTTGCGGATTGGCTGCGAGAGAAAGGGGGCCTTTCGTGGAAACAACGCCAGGAGAAGGACCGGTGGGACCAAAGGTTGAAAAATGTATTGAAATAATTGATACACCACTGAAAGATACTGAAAGGATGGCATGACAAAAGAGGCACGACTATATAGTTCTTTCCTCTTTTTCTCATGTACGCGGGGACCGCGTGGAATTCGCTGGATTGGCGGCAAGCACGTGCAGATTGCAAGCAACACGACACTTTCCCAAGAAACTACTCAGTTTATCTTGACCCACAAACAAATAGATAGAAAACATATTCTCGAAACGACTGCGGACTGCGCAGCACCCAGTCACCTTGAAGGCAATGAAGGAGACAGTGCAGCCCTCAGCATAGCCTGCAAAGATGTCCAGCCAGTGGTGAGCCAGAAAATACCTGAAAGCAAAGGCCAAGACGTTCCATGCGTACAGTCGGTTGTATTAAATGCATAATCATTTCAATACCACCAAGATCCACGCATATCTCCACGGTCTCCGGTGCTGTTGGCATGGACCAATGAGACCCGAGACCCCAAACCCACTCCCACGTTACCCACCTTGGGAAGCATTTCTAAGCCACAGCCAGCTTCAATGCACTACACTGCTGCACTCAAGCTCCAATGAATGAAGTCTACTGGACAACATCTTCACAATGCTTTTGGGGGTCCGGTATTGACCGGCAGTTCTCACATACTTCTTATTTACAAGCACCACGACTCATGCTGGTTACCTGAGGGCCAAGAATTACACCATCATCTCAAATCTCTTTGTCGGTTTCTCCCGTGTTCAGTGGATGTTTCCAGTCTCAACAGAACCTCCCAAGTTACGATGTCCGCTTCCTACCCGTTCAGCCTGGAAGTTGCGGTAGGGAGCTGCTTGAAAGAAAACATCACCCCAACGGTGTCAACCATTGGACAGGAGCGGCTAAAGCGGGCTAAAAGGATTCTAGTTGAGCTTTCCGCTCCCTGGCGGACCCTCGGACCCTGAACAGGCCCTTGAATCCCAAAAAAGGACAGGAGACATAAGACTGGACATTCACTCGTATTCTGGGTGGTGATGAATTCCATCCCCAACACCCACCAGGACCATCCTTGACTCCGCCGCTCCGCCCTTGTTTTGCACATGATCACCTCTCCCTCGCCTTCACCCGAAGCCCACCCAAATCCAAGGCACACCCGACCGAAGCCCACCTCAATCGGACCGTCGGGTCGGTCATCGGACCGGGAGATGCTGGTGACGCTGGTGAGGACGCCAAGGAGGAACCATGGTGGACACATTGGACCCAAAAGGAAAGCTATTTCTTCCGTTGTCCTCAAACATGTCTTTGTACCCTAAATCACCACATCAGATTTGGGCTTTGGAAACACAAGGTTGTTGCACCGGAGTTTCTGATGGCTGAAGCACCACAGCTCTGGCGCTTCGCATGATGGCTAGTGTTCCACAGCTGTCTCCTACCTGCTAAGGACAGGGTTGACATTCAAGCAGTATGAACCAAACTTGCACATCTAACAACAACTTTTCTTCTAACCAAAAGCGGCGAACCCATTCAGACTAGAATAACAAGAAATGATCGTCTGATCTTGAAACGTAATATCAACAGGCAAACTAGGAACCTGCTCTTACCTGCTGAATTGGTTCACTTTGTAATGGATCGGTCAAACACCCAGTTGCCCAGTTTTCTCCCGTTGGACTCGGTCGAGGCACGTACAGCCCTAGGAGCCACCAAGCCCAGCCGCAGCCCGCAAGGGCCAGCGAGGCGCCTCCGGAGAACTGCTTTGGAGAACCTGACCAATTCTATAGATCCAAACATCTTACACCGGCTTGCTCGGGACAAACATTCCATACTTGGTTTGATTAGATTAGATTCTTTCGGATATGCCTCTCTCAGTACTTCTGGCTAAAACCCAAAAATTTGGGCCAACCATAGAAACGACTTATATACTTCCAATTTGGAGCCACATGTTCAGCGGGTCAGAGCGATGCCATCAACGAACGCCCACTGACCAAGACAGCCCATCCGCTGAGGCAGTGGGATTCTGAGGGGGCTTCTGGATCCCAAACAGCCAAGAGTGAACAAGCAGCCAAGCCACAAGTCGGTCCACAGGTCCTCAGGACGTGTCGATGGTCCACACGTCACATCAACGGCGGGTTGACCATTATGATGCCTTGGTTGAGGTCAAGACCGTGGTCCTTGGTTGCCTAACAACCAAACCTCTCCCAAACCCAAACACACGACTACGTGCGCTCTGGAGCGCAGCCCGACCAGTCCCTCAACAGCTAGGGCAGCTAAGTCGCCAGACCCCTCCGGATTCAGGTCCGATGACTGAGGATTCGGCTCCAGGGTCGCGTCTGGGAACCACATGAGGTATCCACATCATGCTTTGGATGGTTCTGAACATCATCTTTTTCCCGAATGCGTAGCGAAGGGTTCTCGTTTAACTCTGGGGGTCTGGGGGTAGAGCTTTGTTCGCGACCCGTGGTTTCTAAGTTCGCAACCGTCCGCAGCCGTCCGCAGGTGTTCGCAGTAGGGCGCTAAGGCGCTGCCATTGGGGGAAGCTTTTGGAGAGGGTTTCGGATGGAAACGTGACGTGTCAGATTCGTGTGAAATAGCGAGGAATCGTGTGGAAACGTAAGATGTTGATGTGTGGAGGATGATTTCACTGCGCAGGTGCAGCGTTTTGTGAGATCCGCAGTTTGCAGCGCAGTTCCATTGGGATTAGCGTATGTCAAAGTCTGCAAAACGAGCGTCTCGTACGAGACTTTTCCTCCAAAAGTCAAGCGGAAACACCCATCGAGCACACACATCCCGCAGCCCTGCCAAGCAGTTTCGCGAGTCCAGCCCCTCCAAACAACACCCGCTCACACGCCAATCCCAATGGGACAGCGACATTCACCTCTACCACAACTCACAACCTGACGATCCCCTGCGCCTGCCACGAATCTTTCCGCGTCCAGACGTCTAATGCGCACAAAGTACTGTGCCTGCCACGAAATGTCACCTCCGTCACACCTCGCAACCTCACGATTCCCTGTGCCACGAAAATCTCACTCCCACACCTCAAAACCCGCATAAAGTACTGCGCCTGCCGCGAAAAGTGACAATGTCATCTCATGTGAGCTTCACCAAAATTTGCACCACACCACACTTTTGGAATGATTTCGACCCGTTCTGAGTTTGAGGAAGTCTCGTACGAAACGCTCGTTTTGGAGACTTGACACGTGACTTTTGGAGGAAGTCTCGCACGAAACGCTCGTTTTGGAGACCTGACGTGTGACTTTTGGAGGAAGTCTCGTACGAAACGCTCGTTTTGGAGGGAAGTCTCGTACGAAACGCTCGTCTTGCAGCCTCGAAGCGTGACTTTTGGAGGAAGTCTCGTACGAAACCCTCGCGTGACTGCTTCTAGTGTGTGGGCAGACCGTGTGGCGACACGACGTTCGTGATGTCGCAGTGCCATTGGGATTTGCGCAGCCTTGGTGGAAAGTGCGTTTGCGTGGCGCCGTGCCACTGGGGAGCG